CCCCACAACGGCGTCGAAAGCATAGTGTCTAGGCTACTGGACCGGTCATCTTGAGAGTTAAAGGGTTCGGAGATTCCGGCCTCAGCTCGGTCCAACGTTGTGTCCTTAAGAAAGGCAGTCTACACGAATGTTCCATATGGCTTGGTCCTTTCGGAGATGGACCTAAAATTGCCTCTTAAATAACCTATTAGTGTTGATAGAGGTGTTAAACCTACACCCTTTCACCATTTTCCCCCACCCACAGCTAAAAGGGGTAATGGAAATTTAAGCAGCAGAGTAGAACGCCCATATAATCATTGTAATGTACGCCCTGTTCCACACACAACAGGTTGTTGTAAATACTGAGTTGAAAACTGCATCCCAACAGCAGGCAGATGGAGCTACAAGATAAACTTTATTTCAACCCTCACTTGGGAATCGAACTCGTGTCTTATGTGAACTGAGCGAAAAAGCCCAACCACGACACCGGGGGCTTTTTAGTTTGAGCTTACATTAACTATATTATTATTATTTAACATATGAGTGTTTTATATGATTGTGATGTGGACCCTAAACAAAGGGGTAACAGGGAAAGATCAGGGAAACTTAGCTTTATTTAGAGCATCCGAGCAAAGGAATGAATGGAGAACCATGACCACCGATATCTGTCGCAGATCTGGCGCTGGATGATGATGATGTGGACCAATGGCCTTAAACACTGAATAAACTTACTATAACTACTGCATTCACCATTGTGAAACGAAAGCTGTCTTTTTAGTGGAATACTTGAACCAGTTTTCTCACCTTGCCTAAAATACATATAGAGGGCTTTCGTTGTTTCGACCCGTACGTTTACCATAGAGCCACTTCATAACCACTGGTGCAATGTATTGTTGAAGGGTTGTTTATAAGATTGATTTTCTTCTTTCTAGTTCTGACCCAATAGGCATAGCAGAACGTAGCCTTGTTTTAATGATTTGCAAAGAGAGCCTGTGATGCTCAACACGCACGTATACGCGTACAAATTGTGTTAATTTGTAGGCATACAGACACATGCGCGCGCGCGCGCGCGCACACACACACACACACACACACACACACACACACACACACACACACACAC